GAATCCTTCAGCCCTGCTCTCCAGCCTGGAACCCGCATTATACTCCAAAACCCTTATCCTAACCCACCCCAGATCCTGCACACCCAAATAGAGCCCTCTCCACTCCCCAAACACCAACCTCATCCTGCCCCACCCTATAGTCAAAAGATATATTTATGTTGGGTCATGGCTATCAACAATTTTCTTCAACTGGGTTGCAAGGAGAAATGTTTGAAAACCACTGACATAATCTATTGCTAGACATTTTTTAATTGCGATTTTCAGTTGTAAAACAAAACCTGAATCTTATCTACAACCTTCACAACTTTTCATTCCAAATGCAGGGCATGCTTCTTTGGCCTGACCTTCAAATATATAGACACATAACACAGTTTATGTGGTTTGTTTGTTTGTTAGGGAGGGAGGGAGGAAGGAAGGAAGGAAGGGTACGTCTAGACTGCAAGCTTCTTTCGAAAGAAGCTTTTTTGGAAGAGATCTTCTGAAAAAACTTCTTTTGAAAGAGCGCGTCCACACAGCAGAAGCGCATCGAAAAAGCAATCTGCTTTTTCAAAAGAGAATGTCCACACTGATTAGGTCAGTGTATTAGCCAGGGCATTAGGTCAGCAGTTGTTTCCGGGTGCTGTTGCCTAAGGCTATCTGCGTCACGTGCTTAAAGGGACCACTGGACAGCTGCTTCTCAGGGTCTGCTGCATGCTTGCCTACCTCTATAAGGGACAGCAAAGCTTTAGTAGTGCGTGCTCTGGTTGCCCAGTTTTGTTGGATGCCACAACATTTTTTTTATATGGAGCCAGAGCTGCCCCTGGGCATGCAATGGCTCCACACTGCCATGCTTCAGTTTCTGACTCAGAACTCATCTCTGAGTCCCTCTGCCTGGATGCTGGAGCAATGCCCTTGTTCCCACACCACACAGTCACGAGATGATTCTGGAGGCTAGACATCAGTTCCGACTGGTGGGACTGGCTGGCGATGGAGCGGTGGGATGACCAGCAGTGGCTCAACAACTTCCTCATGCAGAAGGCCACCTTCTTGGAGCTTTCCTGGCTCGCCCCTGCCCTCCAGAGACTGGACACCCATCTGGAGCCACCATTCCCCTGGAGAAGTGAGTTGCTATTGCCATCTGGAAGCTTGCCACCCGACAGCAACCAGTCGATGGGCCACCAGTTCGGCATGGGGAAGTCCACTGTCGGGGTCCTCCTCATGGACATAAGGCATTCTCGGGCTGCAGTCCCTGGGGGGGGGGGAGGAAGGGAGTCCTGGAAAAGGGAGACCCTCGGGAAAGTGGGGTGGAGGGAAGGCCAGTCTTCGGGGAGGTTGTGCTGTCCCGCCCTCACACGGACCTGCTTCTGGGTGGAAGCCTCGTAGGGGGTGGCTCCTAGTTTGTTTGAGGGGGGAGGGGGGAGGAGGGAGACAGGCTTCCTGACCCGCCTTGGGGGAGCGCAACATCCCTGAGGTGGTCGTGGCATGTTGTGTTCTCCACAACATAGTGGAGAGCAAAGAGGAAGCCTTCCTCCCGAGGTGGGGGGCAGAGGCCAGCCGGGAGGGAAGGGCCTTCGAACAGCCATGGACAGCTGCCATCTGTCAGGCCCATCAGTTGGGGGTGCGCATCCAGGAGGCCCTGAGGGAGAGTTTCTATGAAGGACCCCAGTCCCCCAGAGCCTCCCCAATGGGGGCCTGTGCCTTGCCCCCCTATGCCTTTCCCACCACAAACCCTCTCTGCCCCCCTTCCTTGTACAATCAATAAAAAAAAACAGTTGTGAGTTGAACAACAAAAACTTAGTATATTTCTTTAACAAAAAGTAACTGGGGAGGAGGGGGACTGAGAATCTAGATGGGGGAGTGAGGAGGAGGTATCAGGGCTGCGAGTGGCATGTGGTGCAGCTGCAAGTGTGGCCTCAGGTCTGGGGACCTCGGCGAACTTGGGGTTGGGTGGGGCCTGGGACAATGGGGGGGCA